TGGCTGCATGTAGGGTTCAAGGTGCCATTACCTAGAGACCATTCTCTAAGCTGCTTCTTATATACGGGAAGCAGACCACATCCCAAAGGCAGTTAGTTACTCAGCTGCTTGTGGAAGGTCCCGCCATGGAGCTGATTGCCAGTCTCATCGTGGGGAATAACTACCACCAGCTGCCCAGCCAAGTTGACACACACACTTCCCCAGCACATCCACCAGGTGACTTCTGTTGGACTCTAGGTTTCAAGGACTATATAGTGCCTTGGGTGGTCTCTGCTTCCACCCTCAGAAAGCTGTAATCAGACCAGTAACGTGAAACCCACAGCCTTCAGAGCACTTGCTTTGGGATGGCCCCCAGCTAACAGCTGGCTGACGGTGGTGCCTTTGCTGCAGTGTCTGTGAGTCTACAGGGGTTGTGTGTTTGAAATCCTAGCGTTTGGTGTTTGTTGAATGGCTATGTTTTCTTGCCTGACTCTTCATACATGGCCTTAGTTATTGACATGTCCAGCCCACCATTTTTATGTAACGCCCAGAGGACCTCCCTCTCTGTACACGGCCTCACTTCTTAACATGTCCAACCCACCATTTTACCTAACGCCCAGAGGACCTCCCTCTGCTGACAGAGATCACCCCACTGTCCAAGTGAGGAATTCATGGCACCCCCTCTGACGGAGACAGGGGTTCCAGATGGAAGAGTCAGGCTGGTTCCAAAGCAGAAGAGGTTTCAGGAAACACTGCAGCCTCCAAACCTGTCATTGCCTCCTCCTTGTTTCTGGCTGTCTTTTAATTTTCCAGAAATTGGATCACTTTGTGGCAGAAATCCAAATGTTGTCTACGGTGGAATTACAAGATAGAAGCAAACACATGAATCAGCCATTTGGCGTAAGACTGTTTGTACTTCCAAAGCTCCCTTGGAGATTTCTGGTGACTTTTCATTCCACTGTGAACCGTGTTGCTGAAGATGCCAAATACTGTACCATTTCTTGCCAAAGGCGTTATTACACCATGATTGGTCCCCATCTTATATGTTTTATTAAAAAAAAAAAAAAAAATTTATACATTCTGCTTGGTATTCATGTAAAAATTCCAGTCCAGCAAAGCTCCCAATAACCCATGAGTCCCTTATGAATGCATGCATCTGTTTCTTAAAACAGTTTATTTTGTTGGTGTTGGTGTTGTTGAGAACACACACAGCAGCACATACACCAATTCAACACTTTGTACATGTGCAGTTCATTGACATGGATGGCACTGTTCAAATGGTCCAGCCACTCTCACCCTCCTTTTCTGAATTGTTCCTCACCCATGAACACACTCAGTGGTCCATAACATTCCCATGTACTCTTGAGTTGCACTTGTCAATTTGATTCCATATAGATGGCTCTCCAAAGAGCACCTCCAGGTGCTCAAGGCAAATGAGTTACGCTGAACTTGTGTTTGGTTTAAAGACCACATCAGGTAAGGTCTCAAGATTATCTCAGGAAAATAGTTTTAGGGCTTCATCCAGCCTCCATAACTGCAGAAAGTCGGGATTCCATAAGAACTTGAAGTTCTGTTCTGCATTTCCCCCCTTTTGATCACAGTTCTTCTGTAGAATCTTTAATCAGAAGTGTCAGTAATGGTGGCCAGACACTGTCTAGTTATTTTTGAGTTGAAGGACACTGTATTTAATAGTATAGTCTTTGTAACATGTAATGACATGTTCCTAGGAGATTGTTCATCGTAAGGTGCATGGGTGGATGACACTATTTAATGTCATGTGAATAATAATTTATCTAGCAGTAGTCATAGCACCCATGCCCAAGACAAATTGAGCAGGAAAATATATATTAAAAAAAAAGTCCTTTACTGTGGTAAATACATATATAGCATAGCATTCACCAATTCCACACCTTTTACATGTCCAATTCAACACTGATGCCATTCATTCTGCTGTTTCACCACGACCAATATCCATTGCTCGCTTTTCCATGCACGTGAACACATAGTCCACTGGAGAGATAAATCTTTAGAAGGTGCAGTTAACCCCTCCCATGTGAAAGCTGGACACTGAATAAGGAAGAGCAAAGAAATATGGATGCCCTTTGAGTTGGAGTGTTGGCAAAGAAGAATGAAAATACCATGGACTGCCGGAAGAACGAACAAATGTGTCCTGGACCAAGTGTAGCTGGAATGCCCCTTGGAAGCAAGAGTGGCCAGACTTCATCTCACCTACTTTGGTCATGTTGTCAGAAGGGACTGGTCCCTGGGGAAGGGTATCATACTTGGTAAAGTCAAGGGTCAGTTAAAAAGGGGATGACCGTCATTGAGATGGATGTGGACACAGTGGCTACAGTGATAGGCTCAAGAACAGCAAGGATTGTGAGGCTGGCACTGGATCAGGCAGGGTTTCGTGCTGTTGTCCGTGGGGTCGCTATCGGTTGGAGCTGACTGGACAACACCTAACAACAGCCAGTCTGCAGGCAGGTAACAGAAGGGTACCCTCAGCTTTTTGAAGGGACTTGAGGGTGAACAATGTACCGGCTGTGGAGTTCCGTGGCTTAGGAGAAGGTGAGGGGAAGTGTGCAACGCTTTGCACCTGGGAGGCCCTTCAGATGTGTGTGGACCAGGGAACCATGTCCTTGCAGTAGCCCACCTTGCTGAGCTTCTATGATAGGAGCCTGAGATTGAGGGTCACGGATCATCCAGACGACAGATGCACAAAGTGCAGTAGCAGGATTCATTCAAAGTCCCCCAAAAAAAAAGAACCTCACGGCCATTGAGTTGTTTCCAACTCCTAGTGACCCCCATAGGAGCTCTGGTAGCATAGTGGCTAAGGCACTTGACTGCTAACCAGAAGGCTGGCGGTTCAAACCCACCAGCCACTCCTCGGAAGTAAGGTTGGGCAATCCTATTTCCGTAGTGATACTGCCTCGGAAACCCAAGGAGGGGTCGCTATGAGTCGGGTCTGACTCGATGGCACATAACAACAACAACAACAGTGACCCCCATTGCGTTTCTGAGACCGTAAATCTTTACAGAAGTTGATTGCCCCATTTTCCTTCTGCAGAGCAGTTAGTGTGTTTGAACCGCTGACCCTGTGGTTAGCAGTCAAGTGCCTTATCTGCTATGCCACAAGAGCTCCTGCTGCCTCTATAGTGTGGGGTAGATATCTCCATCTCATCAAGCCATTTGGACCCACACACCCATTTTGCCTGTGCTAGAAAACTTTCAGAGCTCATGCATACGTTTCACTTTAGGGAAAAGTGGTAATTTTCTTTCAATTGTGTAAACAGTGTTTTTGGGGTACCTATCTCTATGGATGCTATGAGTCGGGATCAACTTGACAGGAGGGGGTTTGGTTTGGGTCTGAGCCGTTGCTTGGGTCCCTGCTGTGGTGCAGACAGTTTGTGCCTGACCACTAAGCAGCAGGTTGGTGGGTGTAACCTCCCCAGTGGTGCCATGGAAGAAACTCCTGGTGATACGTCTGTAAGATGACAGCCGTTTAAACTATAGAGAACATAGTTCTACTCTGATGCACGTGCACTCGCCATGAGCTTTGGGTTTTGGCTTTATCCATTGGTTGGGGTCCCTGGGTGTGCAAATGTTATTACACTCAATTGGTAGCCAAAAGGTTGATGGTTCGAGTTCACCTAGAGACACTTCATGGAAAGGCCTGGATATGTACTAATGAAAAGTCAGTCATTGAAACTCTACAGAGTACAGTTCTAGTTTGACACATAGGGGGTCTCCATGAATCACATCCATTAAATGACAAATGGTTTTGCATCCATGGGTTGACCAATCTTGTCAATAATAGGATATATGGTTCCAGTCAGCTATATATAACTCATGCACCTTTTCAAGATTTATTCCAGTCATTCAGTAAGTACCTATTGGGTATGGTCTTCCTGCCAAGCCCTATTCTAGGTGGTGAGATATTATAGTGATATATCAAGAAGGAAGACCCTCAATGTTCTTGGCCAACTTCTACTACATGGTGACACAAATACACAAATCAACCAACAGTAAGGCTGTCATAGCAATGGTGAGGAGCTTTGGCGGTTTGGTGCTTGGCTGGTAACCAGAGGGGTGGTCGTTCAGATCCCCCCTGTAGCTCTGCAGGAGAAACACCTGGCAGTCTACTCCTGTAAAGATTGTTGGTGGTGTCGTTAGGCCCCACTGAGTCAGTTTCAGGTCATAGCGACACCGTGGGCAACGGAACAAACCCTGCCCGGTTCTGCGCCAGCCTCCCATCCATATCTGTGCTTGAGTTCATCGCTGCAGCCACTGTGTCCGTCTGTCTCGTTGACGGTCTGCCCCTGTCCTGCTGACTCTCCACTGGACCAAGCATGTTAACCTTCTCACGTCCCTCCTGATGACATGAGCAAAGTATGGGTGGGAGACAGAGGGTGGCCGTTCTTGCTTCTAAGAAGCATTCAGGCTCTACTTCCTCCAAGAGAGATTTGTTTCATCTTCCAGCCGCCCCTGGTCTCGTCAATATTCTGCACCTGACCCATAAAGATGACAGCCTGGCAAACCTGACGGGGCAGTCCTGCCCTGTCCCATGAGGTCCTTGTGAGTCAGCGACAGCCAACAACAGCAGCAGAGTGATGGGGAGGGCAGTTGGGGAAGAGACAGTGTCCTAAGTGGGTACGTTTTCTTTATTGTTATTCTGTTTGTTCTTCCCTGTAGGCTGATGGCTCTTTCTGGGATTTTCCAAGAGGAGTTGCTGCCTCGGAAATAGTGCGATGGTCGCCGCTTCCTTGCTTGGCACTTACTGGAATCCGGGTCCAAGATAAAGGAAGGGTGGAGTTCTTGACACGGGCTGCCATTCTGAATCCCGCTGAGTCTGCTCTTGCCGTTGGGCTCGTCGGTGACCGCGTGGAGACGTTTGCCAGCCCATCGCCTCTGCTGGACTTGCTGCTCCTAGGATAACCCTCTGGGTTGGTGAGGTTACTTCGCGGTGGTGGGTCTCCTTGGGGGCTGTGTCACCCAGCCGCCCGCGGATGTGTGTGTGAAAAATGTCACGGCCCAAGGGACTACTATGGCTTCCACTGGTCTTCAGTCCTGTCTGTGTCACGTTGAACCCCAGTGTCCTCTGGTGGGTAACCGCCCTGGCCATCAGGTTCACGCTCACTGACGGCCAGGCCCAGCACCCGGTGGTCAACACAAATTATGGAAAAGTCCGTGGCTTAAGAACACCGTTGCCCAATGAGATTTTGGGTCCCGTGGAACAGTACTTGGGAGTGCCCTATGCCTCGCCTCCCACTGGAGAGCGACGGTTCCAGCCCCCAGAACCCCCTTCCTCGTGGACTGGGGTCCGGAACGCCACCCAGTTTGCAGCCGTGTGCCCACAGCAGCTGGATGAGCGATCTTTGCTCCATGACATGCTCCCCATCTGGTTCAGTGCCAACTTGGATACCTTGATGACGTACGTTCAAGATCAAAACGAAGACTGCCTCTACCTGAACATCTACGTGCCCACGGAGGATGGTAAGTCCTTTGCTGAAGCGGCAAACACCTGCTTGATCAGTAGCAGGGAAGAGATTATTTAAAAAAAAATTACGTCCTGTACAACTTTTATCTAGCGTCTATTTATTTTTTCATGTTCCTTATGCAATTATTGCAGTCACTCATCTTGTGTTCTGCTTGTATTTAGTGAAGGTCTACTAGCCAAAAAAAGAGTGTAATTAATGCCTTTAATTATTTTCAAATACTCTCTTCTTCAGGTTGCCACTGTGTTGATTTTTGCAGGAGAACCAGTAGGAGTAGAGAGTGTTATGTGATAATATGTTACATGTAGAGAGGATTGACTCCAAGGGACACGGTAACATTCAAAGCTTCACCAGGGTTGAGTTTGTAAGCTGAACAAAATGTGAAAGACAATTCCTTTTGCGTTAATGTTCTCAGATTTTGCCCCTTCCTTGGTTGAGTCTCGGAAGGAAGAACGTGGATTGCTTTCCAGACACAAGGAGCGGATGGTTCATTGCAGGCTCAGGTTCCACTTTCTTAGACAACATTGTGGGAACGTAAATTTCTACCTTGCTTTACTTCAGTGTTTGCTGCACGCAAATACAGAAGTGTGTGGTCCAATAATTTCAGCTGCATGAGCAAATAACGCACATGCTTTAAAAGACGGTCGTTCTCACTGCAGTAAAATAACCAGAGGAATCCGTCAGAAGTGTAGCATTCAGTCTGTTAATTTAATCCAATGTGATTAAAATTCAGACAGGTCCATACCTGTGTAACTTCAAATTATAATTCTCTGTAAAGACTTACCAGGAAAGAGGGATGGTACATGATTTCTCATTTCTCACTTATCCCTCGCATATGTTATTTTTTAGGGAGGAAGGGAAAACACATGATGAAATACATAAATATACATTTATATATAATATGAAATAT